AATGAACATGGAGATGAAAATATTAGAAATAGTGATTTTATTTCCTTTGGTTACATACACAGAAGTGGGATTGCTGGATTATGTGGAATTTTTTAAATTTAATTAATTTATTTTATAAATAATATAAATAAATTATTTATTAATATATAAAATTTATAAATAATATAAATATAATATAAATATTAAAATATTATTTATTTTTGAGATGGAGTCTCACCCTGTCACCCAGGCTGGAGTGCAGTGGCACGATCTCAGCTCATTGCAACCTCCGCCTCCCAGGTTCAAACGATTCTGCTGCCTCAGCTTCCTGAGTAGCTTGGATTACAGGCGCCTGTCACCACGCCCAGCTAATTTTTGTATTTTTAGTAGAGACGGGGTTTCACCATGTTGGCCAGGCTGGTCTCAAACTCCTGACCTCGTGATCTGCCCGCCTCAGCCTGCCAAAGTGCTAGTATTACAGGTGTGAGCCACCGTGCTTGGCCTAATTTTATTTTTTAAAGAATGTCCATACTGGTTTTCATAATGACTCTACCAATTTACAACACACCAACAATGTACAAGATTGTTTTCATCACACACTTGTCAACACTTGTTATCTCTTTTTAAAAATGTTTTTATGCTTAAAATTTCTTTTTTTTTTTTTTTTGACAGAGAAGGGGTCTCACTGTGTTGCCAGGGCTGGCCTTGAACTCCTTTGCTCAAGCAGTCCTCTTACCTCAGATTCCCAAAATGCTGGGATTACAGGCATGAGCCACCATACCCAGCCCTATTCTTTTTGTATAAATTTGTGGGATATGAGTGCAACCTTGTTATACAGATAGATTGCATGGTGGTGAAGTCAGTGCTTTTAGGGTATCCATCACCCAAAAAATATACGTGTCACTTGATAATAGCCATCCTAACAAATGTGAAGTGATATTTTATCATCGTTTTGATTTGCACCTGCCTGATGACTGGTGATGTTGAGGTCCTTTTCTCATACCCATTCGCTCTTTGTCTTCACTGGAAAAATATCTATCCATTCAGTCTGTTTTTCAATTTAGTTCTTATTATCATTCTTATTATTGTTTTTGCCTTTGATTTGTATGAATTCCTTATATATTCTGGATATTAACTTCTTATCAGATGCATGGCTTGCAAATATTTTTTTCATCCTGTAAGTTTCCTTGTTTTATTTTCTTTGCTGTGCAGAAAAATTTCAGTTTGATGCAGTCCCACTTATTTATGTTTGCTTTTGTTTCTGTGCTTTGGGTGTCATACCCCAAAAAATAACTGCGAAGAACAGTATCAAATAGGATTTTCCATGTTTGCTGGATTTTATAGTAATTCCGTTTTTAATTTTTTGAGAAACCTTCATAGTATGTTTTTTACAGTAGCTGCATCATTTTTGCCTACCAGTGGCTCAAAAGGCCTCTCAGTTTTCCATGTCCGTAACAGTTATTTTTGGGGGGGTGGTTACATTTCTTAATGGCTCTCCTAATAGGTTTGAGGTAATATTTTACTGTGATTTTTACTTTGCATTGGTCTAAAAGTTAGTAATCTTGAGCATCCTTTCAAATGCTTTTAAGCCATTTATGTATCTTCTTTGGAGAGATGCCAGTTCAATTATTTGTCCATTTCTTAAGCTACTCGCTTTTTATTGTTGAGTTTTAGACATTGTTTATATATTGTGAAAATTAACTCCTATCAAATATGTGATTTTCAAATATTTCACCCATTTCTTAGGCAGCATTTTCACCCCACTAAATTTTTCCTTTGATGTGCAGAAATTTTGAAGTTTGATGTAGTCCCATTTCTCTATTATTTTTTCTTATGCATTTGATTTCATATCTAAGAAAATGACATCAAATTCTTTGTCTTTTGTAACGAGAAATTAATGCCAAGTCCAATGTCATATTTTCCCCCATATATTTATCTAGGAAGTTTGTTATATTTTTATGTTCAAGTATTTCATCCATTTTAAATACTGTTTTTATATGGTGCATGTAACGGAAGGGCTCAACTTTATTTTTTTCATGTAAATACTCAGTTTCAACATCATTTGTTAAAAAAACTATTTTCTTCCCCATTGTGTGGCCATAGCAATCTTATATAAGGTCATTGATTACGTGCACACGTGCTTAATTTTGAGCTCTCTATTTTGTTTTATCATCCATTTATTTTTCTTTGTGCTAATACCACATTATTTGTATCTTTATAGCTTTGGGTAATGTGTTATAAAACCAGGAAGCATAATACCTCTTTGTTATTCTTTTTAAAGGGTGTTTTGCTAGTTATAGCTCCTAAAAGAATTTGAGAATCTTAAATATATTTCTGCAAAAAAAAAGTACCATGAAGATTCTGATATTACATTGAATTTCTATGTGGCTGTGCATGTTGACATCTTAACAAAATGAAATTATCTGATCCTTGAGCAAGAATATGTTTGAGTGGGTTTAATGTCCACATTTTTTGGATTTGCAGTTTTACTTCTGCTTCTGATTTCTAGTTTCATTCCATTTTGGTCAGAAAATATACACTGTAGGATTTCAGTCTCCTTAAATTTATTAAGACTTGTTATGCGTCCGAACAGAATGCTCTGTGTGTGATTGAGAATATTATGTATTCTGCTGCTTTTAACTGGAACGTTCTGTATATGTCTCTTAGGTCTAATTGGTGTGTAATGTTTAAGTTTTTTATTTGCTTATTAATCTATCTGATTTTTTTATATTCATGATTGAGAATGAGGCCTTGAAGTCTATAATTATTGTGCTGCTGTGTATTTGTTTCTTAACTTCTGTCAATATTTGTTTTATATGTTTGAGAGTGCTAATGTTATATAACAGTTATATGTGTTACAGATTCCTGGTAAATGGATCCATTTTGCCATTATATAATACCAATCTTTATCTTTTGTAACAGTTTTTTACTTAAAGTGGATTTTGTCTAACTATGGCCACCCCACCCACTTGTGCTTACTGTTTGAATGGAATATATTTTTGTATCCTGTCACTTTCAGTCTGTTTGTCTCCTTAAAACTAAAGTGAGTCCCCTAAAGACGCACATTGTAAGATTTTGTTTTTAACTCATTCAGCTATTTTACTTTTCTAAGGGGTTCAATCTGTTCATATTTAAAATAATACCAGAAAGAAATAAAATTACTAGTAGTGTTTTGTTTTTGATTACTTTCTGTGCTTGTCATAAATACGTTTTCCCTCATTTCCTCTCTTACTGCCTTTGTTTTTGTTTTGTTGATTTTGTAGTGGCATACTTTGATTCCTTTTTCATTTTCTTTTGCATATCTTTTATAGGTATTTTTGTGATCACCTTGAAAAATGAAAGTTTATGAAACATAACAATATGCTTAAATCCCATGACATCTTTACTTCAATTGAATATCAAACTATACCTTTTTACATCCTTTGTTATTAATGTCACACATTATATCATTTCATATTGTGTATCTATTAAGAGATTTACGCAAATTTGTGTTTTGGTTTATTAAATTATATGGCAAGATTTTCAGTTTTATGCACCATTATTATAGTAGAGAATTGTAGATCTGTGTATATATTTACTTTACCATTTCTTATAGAACTATACACATGGTGACAAAGACTGACAGCTTTTGTTTATCTTGTAACGTCTTTTTTTTTTTTCTTATTCTAGAGGTAAATTTTTCCAGATAAAATTTTCTTTGTTGGCAGTATTTTTTTGCTTTTATGACTCAATATTTGTTAAGTGAAATGTCTTTAATTTGCTGATACCTTCTATTACCTCATTAAATTATTTGCTGTGGCTCTGTAATAATTTTTTTAACTTAATTATTGTATTCAGCTCCACAATTTTTGTTTTTTTAAAAAAAATACTTTTAATAGTTTTTTTAAATCTCTGTCGATATATTCATTTCTTCATGCACTGTTTTCTTGATTCTTTTTAGTTGTCTACATTCTATTTTTGCTCACTGAACATGTTTAAAATGATTATTTTGAATTCCTTGTCAGATAATACAAAGATCTGATTTCCGAAGAGTCATTTTCTTCCTTTAAATGAATATTATTTCCTGTCTTCTCTCTATGCCTTGTGATCTTTTGATGACATTTGGAAATTTATAAAATAAGTATTTATAGACTGCCTCTATAGACTGCCTCAGCCCCCCAAGTAGCTGAGAGTACAGGTGCGTGTCACCACGCCCGGCTAATTTTTGTATTCTTTTTAGAGACGGAGTTTCACCGTGTTGGCCAGGCTGGTCTTGAACCGAGTTCAAGCGATCCACCCGCCTCAACTTCCCAAAGTGCTAGGGTTACAGGTGTGAGCCACCATGCCCGGCCTAGTTTGTATAATTAAGTTGCTGGCATGTAAAAAGCTTTCTTTGCATTTTCATCTATATCCTTCCACCTTTATCTGAATGATAGCATAATTTATTCCTAATTCATAATCAGTATTTTATACCATATTTTGCAATATTTATATTGTTCCTCCAGTAAAAAATGTAAGTCTTTTCTCTGCTTCTGCAGGCTAGATTACAGCCTTACCATTTTGTGTAAAAAGAAGAGCAACACATTAATAAGTTTCTCTAGTATTATATAAGTGCTTATTTCTTAAAAATTATTTTCTCAAAGCTTTTTATCAATAATTATAATGGGGTTTCTGTGAAACAGTGCTCTAACTGTATGCTCTTGATTCAAAAATGTGTACTTTTTATGGATAGCCAGTCATGGTTGAAAATTGTAGCTATCGGCCGGGCACGGTGGCTCAAGCCTGTAATCCCAGCACTTTGGGAGGCGGAGACGGGTGGATCACGAGGTCAGGAGATCGAGACCATCCTGGTTAACACAGTGAAACCCCGTCTCTACTAAAAAATACTAAAAACTAGCCGGGCGAGGTGGCGGGCGCCTGTAGTCCCAGCTACTCGGGAGGCTGAGGCAGGAGAATGGCGTGAACCCGGGAGGCGGAGTTTGCAGTGAGCGGAGATCGTGCCACTGCACTCCAGCCTGGGCAACAGAGGGAGACTCCGTCAAAAAAAAAAAAAAAAGAGAAAAAGAAAATTGTAGCTATCTAGAAGGATTCTTCATCAGTAGTCCACTATGTTTATTCAGAATTTTATGGATTATAGTTTCTTTTAATTTTGCTTTGCAATTTTGTATTTATTTGTTACAATTTTTATAATAGGCCATTTCACATTCATAGTATTTTTTAGTTTTTATTCATATAATTTTGTATGACAGTATTCAGCTCTGTACATTTTAAGGCAGTGTGAAGCAAAAGTCAAATATGAATCAGCCATATGTTTATTGCCAATTTAATTATCTCTGTGTTTGAATAAGTATCACCCCATTTTGTTTATGACTCTTATATTTATATTTTTGTTGGTCATCAATGGTGGTTTTATTCTGTTTAGGTGAGGAGTCATGAAAATTGTTGTAATTTCAACATCTATTCATTGGTGAATGTATATTTTCTTTTTGTGAGAGAAACACTTGTGATTTGAAGGTAATTTTTAAAAAGCTTTATAACTCTGTATTTCTTTTAGGTGTAATTGTTTATTTTTAATTGTCGAAAATAGATAACATAAAATTTAGAATCTTAAATATTTTTAAGTTATACAGTTCTGTTATGTTGGGTATATTGACACTGTCATGCAGTATATCTCCATATGTTTTTATCTTGGGAAACTCGAACTCAGCATACATGAAACTACTCATTTTCCTCATTGACCCTTTACAAACACCTCTCTATTTTGTTGGTGAGTGTAACTACTTTAGATGTCTCATATAAATGGATTTATACAATATCTGTCTTTTTATGGCTGGCTTATTTTACTTAGCATCATGCCATCAGATTTATCTTTATTGTCAATGTTAGAAGATTTCTTCGTTTTTTTTTTTTTGGATGGAGTCTCGCTCTGTTGCCAGGCTGGAGTGCAGTGGTGCAATCTCGGCTCCCTGCAACCTCTGCCTCCCGGGTTCAAGCAATTCCCCTGTCTCAGCCTCCTGAGTAGCTGGGACTACAGGCACGTGCCGAGTGATGGGCACACCATCGCTCACGTGTAATCCCGCATTGAAGGCCCCAGGTGGGCGGGCATCACGCAATGTTTATGATGAATCGATATCATCCTGGCCAACATGTGAACCCCGTCTCCCACTAAAATACAAAAAAAAAAAAAAAAAAAATAGCGGGCCATGGTGGCGAAA